CTGGTCTGCACAGTGTAGTATTTGAAAACACCGCGATGGAGTGAAGCTGCAAGAGTCAAAACCGAACCGTACTTTGTGGAAATTCATTTATCATGGTAGAGTCTGGAACTGATTAACCGCGGTAAATGAGGGCCGACTGTATTACTGAATTTCTTCTGAAACAGGGACTGACCAACTTTCCTGTGAAAGCCCAGATGGTAACTGTTTTAGGCTTTGCAGGCTGTATGATCTCAGTTACTCAACTGTGCTATTTACCATAAAGCAGCCATAGAAATATGTAGAAAATGGGTGTGGCTGTGCTCCAATAAAATTTTTATTTATAAACCCTGAAATTCAAATTTCATGTGATTTTATTTTTTAATCCTCACCCGAGGGTATTTTTCAATTTATCTTCGGATAGAGTGGGAGGGAGGAAGAGAGAGAAACATCCATGTGAGAGAGACAGATCAACTGGTTGCCTTCCGCACAGCCTTAACCAGGGCCAGGGATCAAATTGCAACCAAGGTATGTTTTCTTGACCAGAATCAAACCCAAGACTTTTTGGTCCATGGGCCGATGCTCAAATCGCTGAGCCAAACTGGCCAGGGCTTCATGTGATTTTTCATGTCATAAAATATTACTCTTGTTTCCTTTTCTTTTCAACTTTTAAAAATGTGTAAGCATTCTTGGTGTGTGTGCTGTGTGTAGCCAGCTGGGTTGGGCTCTACCACTGCCCGGGTTTGCTGACCCTTGTTCTATGACGTGGTCACTGGTAGCTGCACAGTAGTCTGTTATGTAGATACAATCCAGAACTTATTTATCCAATCTCATATTTAAGTTGTTTCCTATTGTTTATTGTTACAAACAACAAAAGAGTGAACAACTTTGTAACAAATATTGTGCCCCTTTGGGATTTTCCTTAGGATACATTCTTAGAAGTAGAATCATTATGGCAATAGGAAAGCATTAACATACAAAATTATGAAGATACACAGATGGCAAATAAGCATATGAAAGGGTACACAATAGCATTCATCATTAGGGAATTGCCAATTAAAACAAGATACCACTTATTACACATGCATTAGAATGGCTAACGCTTACAACACTGACAACACCAAATGTTGGCAAGAATATGGAGAAGCAGGAACTCTCACATATTGCTAGTGGGAATGCAAAATGGTACAGCTGCTTAAAAGGTGATTTGGCAGTTTCTTAGAAAGCTACATGTAGCCCTGGCTGGTTTGGTTCAGCGGTTGGAGCATTGGCCTGCGGACCAGAGAGTCCAGGGTTCAGTTCCCACTAGGGGCACGTACCAAAAAAAAGAAAAAGAAAGCTACATGTAGACTGACCATACAATCCAGCAACCGCACTTCTTGATATTTACCCAAATGAACTGCAAAATTGTGCACACAAAAACCTGCACATGATACTTACCTGGCAGGGGAGATACCATGATCGCGAAGGTGGTTTTCCCAGGGCGAGGCTTATCATTGCACTCCGGATGTGCTGACCCCTGCGATTTCCCTAAATGTGGGAAACTCAACTGCATAATTTGTGGTAGTGGAGGACTGGGTTCATGATTTAATTAATAAAACTAAATTTTAAAAAAAACTGCACATGAATGTTTATAGCATTTTATTGGTAATCACCTAAAACTGAAAGCAATAAAGATGTCTGCCAAGAGGTAAATGGATAAACTGATATATCCATACAATGGAATATTAGTCAGTGATAAAAAAATAAATGATCTATCAAACCACAAAAAGACATGGAAGAAATTTATTACATACTTTTAAGTGAAAAAGCTAATTTGAAAAAGCTACATACTATTTGATTCCAATGATATGACTTTCTGGAAAAGGCAAAGCTAAGTGACAATAAAAACATTGGTGGTTGTTTTTGACAGGGGTTGGGGAAGGAGAAGAGTGAACAGGTGGAACAGGGGATTTTTAGGGCAGTGAAACGATTTCATATGATATTGTGAAGGTGGATACAGGACATCATGTGTTTGTCAAGACCCATAAAATTGTACAGTGAAAAGAATGGACTTTGAAGTAAACTGAGGGTTTTACTTAATAATGTATTGATAATGGTTCATCAAATACAACAAACATACTACACTAATGAGAGAGGGAGAGGAAGAAAAGAATAAATGGGAACTCTCTACTTCCTCCTCAAATTTTCTGTAAACATAAAACTCTAAAACATAGTCCATGAATTAAAAATAATCTTGTTATAAAATTAATATGTGCAAAGACAGTAAAAGTTCTAAAAAATGCAGAAATATAAACCTGGAAAATGAAAACACCATCCCCACGGCTACAGGTGACCACATTCAACATTTTGGTGCAGATCTGTTCAGATTTTTCTCTACTTATAAAGTATATATGCATACATTTCCCCTATAAGACAAGCATATTATATTTCTTTTTGCACTTTGCTTTTCCTAAAACCAGACTATGCATCATAACTACTAAGTCCATGTCAGCACACACAGATCCACTTTACTCTAACTGGACAAAAGTCCACTGTATACATCTAGTAACATAAATTTGGGGGAATTTAATTTGTTCCCAGTGGGGTTTTTATTTTCTCCCCCAAACAGGTTTTGGTGCTGTCTTTGTCTTTGGAATTTGTTGTTGATAATTTCCCTCTTGAAAGTTTGTTCAAATGTGTGCTGTCTTCACAGTGCTTGTGTCTTTCCCATCACCCTTGCCACCTCTGGATGTTATTTTTAAAATCATAGCAATGTGTTCTGGTCAAGACGGCAGCATAGGTAAACACAGTATCACATCTCCCACATCACAGTTACAACTAAACTACAGAACAACCATCATTTTAAACCTCCTGAAATCAAGATGAATGGAAGTCCTACAACCATAGAATTAAAGCAGCAGCCACATGGAGACTGGTAGGAGGGGCAGAGGCAGATGGGCTGGTCCCACACCCATGTGTGGCTGATAAAAATCAGGAGGACATGTTGGCTGGGAAGGTCCTCCCTGAGGAGTGAGGGGTCCTTGTCCCACATCAGGCGTCCAGCCCAGGGTTCCAGGGCCAGGAAGAGAATCCTCATCACTTCTGACTGTAAAACCAGTGGGAACTGAGCTGAGAAGGCTGAGGCTCCTGGGGCCCCAGGCAGCTCCTCTTAAAGAGCCCTCACATGGACTTACTCAGACTTACTCCCTCCAGGCTCCAGCATGGGGGAGGCAGCTTGAAAGGCACCAGAGACATATGGGGAAGAACTGAGCTGTTTGGCACTGGAGCGAGGGCTGGAGAGGGGGCTTTCTCCTGGACAGACGTGCTGTCAGAGGCCTTTGTTCCTTTGGTGAGCTCTTCCCTGGGACGGCAGACAGACGCCATATCTGGGACTCCAGCAACCTGGCTCACACTGGTTGCCCCGCTCTGGTGATTCCCTGAGGCCCTGCCACACCCACCTTTCAGACCCACCCAGTGCTTAACCATAGGATTGGCCTGTCTTGGATCCTGCTTCAGGTTTTCCTAAATTCTTTCAAACAAGCAGCATCTGGTCTTAGCTAGCCCCATACCTCTCGTTAAGTAATACATAGAAGCAAACGCAGGGAGGCAGCCAAAATGAGGAGACAAAGAAACCGGTCCCAAATGAAAGAACAGAACAAAACCCCAGGAAAAGAACTAAGTGAAATGGAGATAAGCAACTAACAAATGCTGAGTTCAAAACACTGCTTATAAGGATGCTCAATGGACTTAGTGACAACCTCAGTGAATTTAGTGAGGGCTTCAACAGCATAATAAAGGACCAGTCAGAAATGAAGGAGGCACTAACTAAAATAAAGAATAATTTACACAGATTCAGTAGTAGAGTAGGTAAAGCCAAGAAGCGAACCATCGATTTGGAGTATAAGGGAGCAAAAAAACCCCAATCAGAACAGCAAAAAGAAAAAAAAAAATTTTTAAATGAGGATAGTGTAAGGAGCCTCTGGGACAATTTTAAGCATGCCAACATTCACATCTTGGGGGTGTCAGAAGGAGAAGAGAGAGAACAAGAAATCAAAAACCTATTTGAAACAATGATGGCAGAAAACTTTCCCAACTTGATGAGGGAAACAGACGTACAAGTCCAGGAAGCAATGAAAATCCCAAACAAGATGAACCACAAGAGGCCTACACCAAGACACTTCATCATCAAAATGCAAAAGGTTCAAGACAAAGAGGGAATCTTAAAAGCAGTAAGAGAAAAGCAGTTAGTTACCTACAAGGGAGTTCCCATAAGACTGTCAGCAGATTTCTCAAAAGAAACTTTGCAGGCCAGAAGGGAGTGGCAAGAAATAGAGTGATGAAAAGCAAGAACCTACAACCAAGATTACTCTATCCTGCATTTAGAATCGATGGCCATATAAATAGTTTCCCAGACAAGGAATAGCTAAAGGAGTTCATCACCACCAAACCATTATTATATGAAATGTTGAAGAGTCTTCTTGAATAAAAAGATAAAAATATGAACAAACAAAATGGCAATGAATACATATCTATCGACAATTGAATCTACAAACAAAATGAACAAGCAGAACAGAAACATTCTTATAGATACAGAGAAATTTTGTTGGTTGTCAGATGGGAGGGGGTTGGGGGAATGGGTGAAAAGATGAAGGATTAAGAAGTAAAAATTGGTTGTTGGACTGACAATCCTCAAAGGCAAGGGGGTTGGGGGATAGGAAGAAATAAACCAAAGAACTTATATGTATATATGCACAACCAATGGACACAGACAACAGTGTAGGGAAAGACAGGAGGGGGGCAGGAATGGGGAGGAGGGAGTCAGTGGGGGAAAAATGAGAAACATCTGTAATACAGTCAACAATAAAGATAAGTTTCAAAAAAAATCATAGCAATGGTCTTTCATTCACTGAGCATTAAAAGTAATAATAAAGTTAGACTTTTTATGTAAGTTGCCTGAGTAAATGCCATTTGACTATTCAGAAGCTTTAGGTGATTTTCATATTTCTGGGGTCTAATCACCCTCTTGACTCTGTGTTTTTCAGTTACGACAGTGGCCTGACTCATATACAAAGAAGTTTGTGCACAAAATCTACCCCATCACGTTTTCGGTTGGAAACCCTCAGGAATGGAAGAAATTATTCAAACCCTGTGCTGCCCAAAGACTCTTTCTTCCGGTAGGAACACCTGCTTTTAATAAGATGCTGCTTGGGGGAGAACTGCTCCTGGACATGTGGTGAAATGAACTGGAATAGATTTATAGACATTCTGCATCCAGCTGAAAATGTGTTTTTCTTGGATTCTGTAGCTGATGCTCTCAGTCTTCAGAGTGGAGAGAGAAGGTCCCTCCATTTGGAAGGTTGTCTTTGGCAAAGACTGAGAGACTGAGAGCATCCAAAGCTTAGTTTGAACTATGGATCTTTCTGGCTACGGCACCATTTACTGGCTGGGTAAACCTCATAAATCTCCCGGTTCCTCTACACCTGAGTCGGTTTCCTCCATCAGCTTGGCACACGGTTGACCCTCAGTAAATATTAGCTTCAATTATTATTATTATTTCTTTGATAACAAGAACTACAACTAGCTGTGGCCATGCAGAGAAGGTCCAGAACTTTGATTCAACCTTTGCATGTTGAATTTTTTAATTGAATGTTTTAATTTCATTTAAAAAATCCTAAATAGAAAAATTGCTGAACATATATCAAAACTGAGGATATTAAGAAGCATATTTGAAAAAAATCAAAGAAAGTACAGTCACCAGAGGTAAAATGAGGCATTGCTGAGACCAATCAATGATGACTTGAGCTATAGTGGTTGCCTTAGAGATGGATACAGAACCTGCCTGAGAAATAGAATTTACAAGTCCTCATGGTGGGCTTGTTGTAAGAGTTGAAGGGAAGTGAAGCAATAAGAATTTCACCCAGGTTTCTGACCTGAAAAGGTTCATCTGTTTGAAATTGCCAATGTTCAGCTATTTATGACCTACAAAAAAGGCAGTTTCTTACGGTTTAGTTCACTAAATGGATGGTGGTGCTATTTAGAGATGGGTAAGACTGGAAAAACTCTGTGTTGGTGAGAAGGGAGGTGAGTTTAATGTGGGTCATATCTTCTGTCGGTCTGACATTCTAAATGGCAGATGGCATTTTTAGCATTTCTTACCCAGAACCTCTGAGAAGAGCAAGGCCTGGATGTACTACTGGTGCTCAATCAGTAAACAACCTTCTTTTCATATGCCACAGATGTTTCTATATGTTGTCAGATGGGATTAGTTGAATATAAATAAGTGTAAGAAAATAACCTCAAATTGGCATTAAAATCTCTAAGTTGGTGATTTTCAAACTATTATTACTATTTAAGAAGATGATAAAAATTGTCAGGTTTCTGCTTATTGTCTTAGGGGGAAAATATATTGTATAGCCAAATTTATTGGGGGAAAACTGTCTCCCCAACCTATCCATAAATATTAGCAACATATTTGAATTTTCCCTGACCTTGAATTGTGTCTTTTAACTCTTTTAATTTTTTAAAAATTTTTATTAATTTATTTTTTACAGATGTTTCTCCTTCCTCCACCCCAGACACCCTTCCCCCCATCCTGCCCCCCCCCCAGCATTGTTGTCTATGTCCGTTGGTTACGCATACATGCATATTAATTCTTTAGTTTATCTCATCCATCCCTCCCCCCCACTCTGAGGTTTGTCAGTCTGAATTGAATTGTGTCTTTATTGTCACTATTAAAACAAAAACAAAGCAAACAAACAAACAAACAAAAACCACCACAGGATGGTTTTCATTCACCCTAGCTAAGTAAGTATTCTACTTTCAGTGACAAATGGGTGCTGGCGTTCCTTATCTGCTTTTGATGATGGAAACTAGAGGTCCTTAAAAATAATAGAGATTGTGGTTGACAGGACATTTATCTTCTCTGAGTTATGTCATAACAACAGATTATAAACTTGACATTTTTGGGCATCAGTGAGATGTTCTTTGGGTAGTTTGTTTTAAAGTTTAGGTGACGTTTTTCTTGAAATTTACCTTTATAAAACCAAATCATGTGTGCTGCTGAGGCAGCACAGAGAAGATGGAAATCCTAAAATGTAAGCATTTTACAGGTGCTCAGTCAACTGACTGAGAAGCACAGTCTTACCCATTTTCTGAAGGGATCTAATCTACCCCAAACCTGCAGAAGAAACCCTTTCTCGGGTTAGGTTTTGCTATGAGAATGATCAGAGCACGAGTCTTTGCAATTCAAGCCCATTAGATTTCCAAGTACAACCACTGGAATTAGATCTCACCAAGTCAAGATTTATGAAGTCCTAAAAATCGGTGGGCATTTTCTTTCCTAATGGGATAATGTGTGGATAATGGTCCTGAACGCAGGACCATTACTGATGCACACAAAACCTGGATGCTTGACTAAGCTCTCTAAGCTGCATACGGCTTTCAGGTAATTCAGAAGTTTAACATATTTAAAACCATATGCCAGTTCCAAAGAAGTAAAAATTGTTCATTAAACTTGATCCTGGAGGACTTTTTCCTTTTCCATTAGTAAAGGAAATAATTAAGTTTTATGAATTCACATCACTTTTCCCCCACTTAATAGGAATTAGTGAGATTTTATAATGGATTTATATATTATGTTACACATTCTGCCTATTTTATTACAAAGACCTATATCCTCAATAATGCACTCCGCTGGGGATCCTAGAGGTATTTACAATATGACAGAGATCACTGGATTACAGAAACTGCAGATACTACATTGTCATGTGACACCCAATTAGGTTAAAGTAAGGGACTATACAGGCCCCACCCAGGGAGAAAGCCTTTTTTAACCAAGTTTCAGTAAGTTCCAGGATGTCACTCTTGCTCCCAACACTTGCCTCAAGCATCCATGTTCAAGGAAGGAGTTAGGGAAGGATATGTCAAGAGAAACAGGATAAAGTTGCTTACAGACTTGACCTGTAAATTTGTCCTGAGAGTTTTCTTTATTTTTAATCATTTTTTCTATTATAGTTGACATACATTATTATATTAGTTTCAGGTGTACACCTCATTGATTAAACATTACAAACTTATTAAGTGATCATCCCAATAAATCTAGCACTCATCTGACACCGTACATAGTTATTAGAATATTACATCTCCATGGTTATTCTGTAACAACCAATTTGTAGTTCTTAATTCCTTCACCTTTTTCACCTGTTCCCCCAACCCCTTCCCCAGCTGGCAACTGTTCTCTGTATCTATGAGTTTCTTTCTGTTCTGCTTGTTCATCTGTATTGGTTTTTAGATTCAACTGTTGATAGATATTTATTTTATTGTTTATATTTTTTATCTTTTTTTTCTTTTTATTCTTAAAGAATGCCCTTTCACATTTCATGTAATACAGGTTTGGTGGTGATGAACTCCTTTAGCTTTTTCTTGACTAGGAAGCTCTTTGTCCTTCCATTCTAAATGATAGCTTTGCTGGGTACAGTAATCTTGGTTGTTGGTCCTTTCTTTTCATCACTTTGAATATTTTTTGCCAATCCCCTCTGGCCTGAAAAGTTCCTGTTGAGAAATTGGCTGACAGTCTTATGGGAACTCCCTAATAGGCAATTAACTCTTGCTGCTTTTAAGATTCTGTCTTCGTCTTTAACCTTTTGCACTTTAATTATAATGTGTCTTGGTGTGGCCCTCGTCTTGTTTGGAACTCTCTGTGCTTCCTGGACTTGTAAGTTTATTTTCTTCACCAAGTTAGGGAAGTTTTGTCATTATTTTTTCAAATAGGTTTTCAGTATCTTGCTCTCTCTCTTCCCCTTCTGGTACCCCCATGATGCGAATGTTGGTATGCTTGAAGTTGTCCCAGAGGCTCCTTGCACTAACCTCAGTTTTGGGGGATTATTTTTTCTTTTTGCTGTTCTGGTTGGTGTGCTTTGCCTCCTTATATTTCAAATCTATGGTTTGCTTCTTGGCTTCATCTGTTCTACTGTTGAGTCCCTGTAATGTATTCTTCATTTTAGTTAATGTATTTTTCATTTCCAACTGGTTCTTTTTAATGTTTTCTTTCTACATTTTAAAGTTTTCTATATCTTTCTTGAAGTTCTCATAAAGTTTATCTACTCTTCCCCTAAGTTTATTGAGCATCCTTATAACCAGTGTTTTGAACTCTGCACCTGATAGATTGTCTCCATTTTGTTTAGTTTTATTTTCTGGAGTTTTGTTCTTTTCTTTCATCTGGGACATGTTTCTTTGTCTCTTCATTTTGGCTGCCTCCTTGTGTTTGTTTCTATGTATTAGGTAGAGCTGCTATGTCTCCTGGGCATGGTGGAGTGGCCTAATGTAGTAGGTGTCCTGTGGGGTCCAGTGGCACAGCCTCCCTGATCACCCCAGCTGGGCCTCCAGGTGCATCCCCTGTGTGGGCTGTAGTCCTTCCTGCTGTAGTTGAGCCTTGATTGCTGTTGGTATGTCAATGGAGGATTTATCCCCATGAAGATCAGCTGCAAGGACAGGCTGTGGACACTAACCTCTGTGGAGGATCAGCTGTACAGGGGGCCACCCTACAGAGCAGAACTTACTTCAATGGGGCTCTGGTGCCCATTGAGTGCCCCTTAATGTCTTGCTTGTGGAGATGATTGGGTGGTAGTGCTTTGACATGCTCTGGCTCTGGGACCTCCCAGGAGATATAGGCCAAGGTCAGGCACCATCTGTGTTTCCAGGGCCACCCAGTATGAGCTACAAAGTTCATGCAGATGGCTGCTAATTGTGCTGGGCTTGGAGGTGCTCAGGTGAGGACAATCTGTGAGCCAAGGCTGGATACTACTAGTGCCAGGCCTGGGGTCACTTAATGAGAAGTATGGGGTATGCCTAGGCCAGATGCTGCTTCTTTGAGAGATTTTAGGACTTTCTGAACATGAATCAAGACAGGCCATTCATATGGAAAAGCCACTGAAAACAGCTCAGATGAGCTTGAAATTTGGGTAAGGCATGGCCTCAGGGAATTACCAAGTGAACCAGGTTGATGGAGTCTCAAATATGGTGCCAGACTGCTGGCTCTGTGGGGAAAGGGCTCATCAGGAAACAATGGCCTCTGCAGCACTTCTCTCTGGGAAAAAAACCTGCTCCCTTCAGCCCTGGCCCTGATGTCAAACTACTTAGTCCCTCCCCGTATGTCTCTGGTGCCTTTCAAGCTGCT